AAAATATCCAAATGGGTAAGAATTACATCTGGCCCTCCCAACCTTGCTTTGGTCCCACCCTATCTATGCCCTAAAGCCCCACACTGACCTGGTATGGTATTCCTGAGACCCTTTCCAAGTTGGAATTTGGCCTCTGAGTCTGAAAAAAGGTTCCATACCTCACATGACTAAAGCATAGGAGTCATTGACTAAAAGTTGTTGAATGATCTGATAGTCTTTTGGAAACAGTTGTCATTCAGGCCAATCTGATCCTGTCTACATATGACATGGAATTGGGTTCATCACCAGCTGAATAAGGGAGACTTCTGATGGAGCTAAGCTATCCCAGTTATAGGAAGTAGTGATCCTCAGTACTTCTCTCCCCCTTCAGACCCCTGTTCTCCCCATTCTGTTATGGAGGGGAAGAGGAGCAACCAGAATGGATGGGGAGCAGGGCATCGCTAGGAGTGGGTGGGATGTGTGGACAACACCAGGGGACACTCTAAAGGGGAGGGTGACACCATTGCTCCCCAAACCAAAATGTAATGAACTGTGGCATTCACCTGCATCACTTTAAAATGCTGCAGAGGTGGGGTGAGGAGAAAGGAGTGGATCCAGGGTTTGTTTGTTTTTTTTAATTTTAAAAATTATTTTTAAATTTTCCTTAAAAACATCACATCTTTACAAATTTTAACTTTAATCACATGAAACTATGTACATGTAAATACATTGAGGCTGTGCGTATGATATTGTAATTTAAAGGTATAATTTTTAATTTTGCTTGTTGTTTACAGCACAACTATTGCCGTTACATTCAGTGATATAGAGGAATTGTAATTTATGAGTAACATTAGTACAAAAAAATTACTAGGGATTCTGTATAGTGTAGCATGATAGAAAGTCAATGGGGGGTTGACACCATGAGTTACCGCGCTGAGTGACGCCAACCGTAGTGACATCACTGAGAGCTGCAAAGGATGGGAGGATTGGGGCCACCCCAGCTTTTCCACCAATGCTGGAATTTTGAGTGAAATTCTGATCAGTAAAGGCCTCCCACTTTTAAAAAAGACACTGGATCCAGCCCACAATAATGAACAGAAAAAATAAATAGGTGCAGCTTCCTTGGTATGCCCTGTTACTATACTCTTGCTTTCTTTTCTTGTGATTTTTCCCTCCTAGCAATTCCCTAGTAACATCTGTTCCACCTGAAGCAAGTCAGGGTTGATCCTGATTAATACTGGGATGGAAAACAACCAGGGAATGCCAGGGATCTCCAGGTAAGGCTGTGGATGAATCCTGCCTCAAATCCTGGAAAGCCATAGCCAGAGCTGACAGTACTAGACAGACCAGTTCTCTGACTCAGTCTAAAAGTTTCCTATCTTCCTATTCATTTGTTTACAACATTTATATGGCATCAGAGATGTCAAAGTGCTTTAGCAAAAAAATAAAACAGCAGGTAGTAAAACATTATATACACTGAAAACACTCAGGAGATAAAAACACAACTAAAACTATAACGTGTTTGAAATAACTTGGAGACTTCCTGAGATACGTTATCACTGTTTTGTGGATTTTGGATTATGCTGAATTTTGCTATATGGCCAACACGGCTACCCCTGGATATGTTAACACAATTAAAAGTCAGAGAACTAATACTAAACCCAGTCATTTGGTATTAAAGGAGATGCATTGGAATCAGTCGGTTGTAATTTTTTGGACATGTTCGTAGCTATGCAGTTGTACTTGTAAAATCCCATGTCGCTAATTGACTTGGAGACATTGGCCACATTAGTATCTAATGTTAAGTCATGGTTTCTTGATACTGCCATTTGTTCTGCACATGATCAAATGTAACCCCTATGAGTTTTTGCTTTGACCCAGTTGGTAGGGAAACCCTAAGGAAAGGACTGTACGGGTTCAGTTCAGAAAAAGTGAAAGGGCTGTGATTGCCATGGATAAGAATCAAGCTCTTGACACTTTGAACTGGGATTTAAAGGTTATATCTAATAACTGTTGAGTAGGATATGCAGAAGATTTCTACAACCAAGTCCCACATGGGCATTTCATTTGATGCATGGAACTTTAGGATATCAGATATGTGTTGAATTTAGAATAGAATATGTTGCATTGTTTCTCTTTCAAAAAGAAAAAAATGATTCAAATCTTTAAATTGTTTAAATTACTGTGCTTGTGTTTTCATATTAATTTATAATGGTTCTATAAAACCCAAGAAAGTGGTACAGAAATATCACAGTTTGTTTGCCCAGTCTTTGGTCCGTTTCGCTTCCATTCTTTTGATCAGTTCCTATATTAGGGCACACAGTTAGGAAAACAAACTAGACACTAACAAGCCATGGTTTGTTAGTGTGGGTTCAGACAAAAGAAGCCAGAATTTAATTTACCACAACCTACTTACCAAAGTGTGCAAACTAGGCCATTATCTGCAGAATTCTAAATTAGATTATTTCCAATCCCACAGCATCCAGAACATTTGAATTAGCTACTGAAATGTTTTTACAAAGAAAGCTTAAATGGCTTGGTCTGTAATATACACATAATATTTGTTGTCTGCCAGAATGTGCATCTGATTTTAAAATACCCATCCTCTGTGTTCTCTCATGGACTAAGACCATTTATATGAAACAAATAGTGCAAGAAAAGCCTAAGAAAATGCCTTCTGACTTAAACAGAAATGGTCTAATCTGTGGCCTCATAAAATATTCCTGAAAGAATAGCCCTCAGGCCAAATAAATCTCCCAAGGCACTCCTTTTAAAAAACCCTAACTCAAATCATCTTGTCCTGTTTGAATACTTTACCACTTGCCCATAAGAATCGTGCTCCGTAATGTACTTGGTTTCTTTATATATACATGGGGAAATGCTAGCTTATTATTCTACCTCAACATCAGTAATCAGCTTGAGCCCCCAAAAAACTTCCTTTGCAAGTATTTTTAGCCCAAGCATTTATTTTAACACTAATCATTCTCTAAAACCCTCTTGGTCTTTTAAGCCTCCTATGTATTTCAGGATTGTTTCATCATGTGTTTTCAAGGTAAAAAGCATCCAGGAATGGTTTTACTTTTGCTTTCTTCTGCACAGCACTACGGTAACTCCCTCAGAACACAGAGAGACCTTGTAGCACCTTTGAGACTATATCTGAAAGAAATTAGCAGCATGAACTTTTGTAGACTTCAGTCTACTTCCTCAGATGCATTTATTTATTTATTTATTTATTTAAATGCATCTGAGGAAGTAGACTGAAGTCTATGAAAGCTCGTGCTGCCAATTTCTTTCTTTCCGTTAGTCTCAAAGGTGCTACAAGATCTCTCTACGTACTGATTCTACAGACTAACACAGCTATATCTTTGAATTTACTCCTTCAGAGTTAGCTAAGGTACTACTGCCAGTATAACACACATCTTCCTGCTGCCTAGTAGTTGTTTGGCACTTTTAGTCTGGCTCCTAAGCAAAACCCTGTCACCCAGCTAGCAGCAGTGCTGCCATCAGCATAGCCTTTTCTTTACTGCAGCACATCATCCCACCACTATGGACATGTACTGCCAGTGTGAGTGACTGAGGCTGTTGTAGTTTGGACATATCATGAGAGAGTATGACTCACTGGAAAAAAATTGTAATGCTTGACAAAATGGAAGGCAATAGGAAAAGAAGTCCATATTATGGGTGGATAGATTCAGTCATGGAAACCACAACCCTGACTTGCAAGTCCTGAGCAATATAGTTGATGACTGAGGCTAAGTAGAAGTTAACAGTAAATACAGTGGGCCCTTGTTATCTGCTAGTGTTTGTTTCCAGGACACACACACACCCAATGGATACCAAAATCTGTGGATGCTCAAGTCCCAGTAAATACAATTGTATCATATAATAAAATGATATCCCTTATATAAAATGGCAAAATCAAGCTTTGCTTTTTGAAATGTATTTATTTTTTAAATATTTTCAAACCATGGATAGTTGAATCCATGGCTACAGAGGGCCGACTGTAACAACAATGTATTTCAGGAGGCTGTGCTAATAAGCATAATTGTCAAACACTTTTTAGATATCCAAATGTTTTTTCAATGCATGAACACTAACAAGAATGAGATCTGTGTACATTTCATTTTACAAGTGTATCAATTCAACATTTTGCACATATGCCTAAAAATCCATGCATGTAGGACACATTCACGTTCTTCAGGTCAGTGTATCAGAAAGCTGCTTAAACTAGGAATGGGACACTGGCCACTGAATGTCAACACACAATGATTCACATTTGCAGTTGTGTGTTGAAGGGACCCCCACCCCCATAGCAGTATTTCTTAAGTGGGGAATATCATCTTCATTTTAAATCTGGGCTTGGATCTAAAGAGTTGGGTGGGTGCCATGGCTCTTTTGGACCACCTCCTTCAAACTGCAGTGCTTTGGGTCACTCAGTAAGTTTCCCCCTAAACTTGGATTCTTTGAGCACCTGCTTCTATTAGATGTGGTTATACAATGAATATGTGTAGTGGACAATGTAGGCAGCTTCAGTATTCAAGTGGATGCAGCCTTCTATGCCTAAAGATCCATTTGCATTGTAGCCATGCCTCAGGATAAAACTCCTATTGCTTCATCTACAGTGTAATCCACAAACAACCAGCACTGGACCAAAATATTTTACTAATGGATGCAGAACAGCAAATGTACTCCACCTCTCAAAATCACTGTTAAGTTGAAGCCAGGTCAGCTTCAACTTATGGTGAACCTGTGAATGAGATCTTCAAGAGCTTCAGACATCAGCATAACTGGTCAGATCTAGCAAACTCAGGTCAATGGTTTCTTTGATTGTGTCAATAAATCTGTGTTGCAGTCCTCCTCTTTTCCTACTGCCTTTGATTTTGTCAAACATTAGAATCATATTATTGTTGTTGTGTTCAAGTCAGTTTCAACTTATGGTGACCCTAAAGGCAAACCTATCACAGGGGTTTCTGGGGCCGAGAAAGTGTGTTACTCACCCAAGGTCATCTAATGGGTTTTCATGGCAGAATGGAGAATCAAACCCCGATCTCCAGAGTTGTAGTCCAATGCTCAAACCACTACACCATACAGGCTATCATCAGAATCATATCAAAGGCCAAACAAAGCTATTTCAGCATCTGTGAGAGATTATTCCATGAACCCATCTCCCCACCTTCTTCACAGTAAAAATGCAATCATGATGAAAGAACTAGTTCATCATTTGCTTCCTTTTCACAAGACCCATGTGCTACATTCTTCCTAATAGCAGAACCGGCCCTGCAAACATCCAACCCTGACCTATAGTACTTCAAACAGCCATAATCTAAGAATTACTAATGCAGTGCAAGTGGCTCCTATGAAGCAATAACACCTAGATTGCATAAAATGGAGGGAAAACCACTTTCACAAAAAGGGAGGTTTTTTTTATTATTCTTAGCAGTATCCACCTTGAAGGAATATGAGGGAAGCATACACTTTTTTTTACAGACAATATATAAACATGTTGTACATAATTAACAATAACTTAGTTCACTAATCCAAAAATTAAGCAATTAAAAAAGACAACAGAAAATACTGCCAAATCTTTATGCTGATACAAGTACAAAATAATTTAAATCCTGACTGCGGTTCTCCTACGCTGCAGTGACTGACAATATATTGCACTTTGTCATCTGTGGATCCTGTCCAGCAAGCTCTCCTGATATGCAGCCTCTATTCATCCAAGTGAGGTTTTGCAGGGCTTACCCCATCAAGACAAATAGTCAGCACATCAGCAATAGTGCTGGGGGGGGATTTGCTCCCCAACATCATAAATTCCCTCACTCTCACCCAGTCACTTCCAACCCAAAAGGAATTTGACTTGGTTAGAAATAATATATCATGGTACCATATTTTTCAAAGGTTGCCCTTCCCTCTCTCACACACACCTAAATAAAGGAGTAAATATTTTATTTTAGTCAATTGAAAATATAATTCATTTATTTTGTATTTTTCTTATTTTAGTATCTGATTATTTTTACTTCTTCACAAAGTGCAGCTATATATGCCTTCAACAGCCTTTCCTAAACTAGTGCCCTGCAGATGTGTTGAATTACTGTTTCCATAATCCCACAGCCAACATAGCTGGGATCTGGAACTTGAAGTCAACCACATCTGAAGGACACCAGGTCGAAGAAAACTGGTCAACACAGACCAGAAAAGGGAGGAAAGCAATGTTGTTTTGGATGTATGGTCCTTCGTTCTTATCAGATAGCTGAATTACATATTTAGGGACAAAAAACAAAACCAACGTACACCTTTGTCTTTGTTTTAAGCAGACTTTTGCAGTTAAGATACAATTGGCTTGATTAAAAAAATAGAAGAAAAAAAACAATTAAAAAAGCTCGTCACAGAGTTAAGCTTATGCAGTTTACATTATCAAACCCCTCTGCTCATAGGGGCTTTATTTTGTCATCAGAAATATAGCTAAATATGTACATCATATGTTATACTGGACTTTGTGATCATGAAAGTCATCAGATCATAACAATCAAGAGAATACACTTCACACTGGCAAAAGCTTTATTATTTTTATCAGCTTTTTTTTAAAAAAAGTACAATATGGTTTCAGAATGGGAGACGAATATTTTTGCTCAACACTTGTGATTTCCCTTAAAAATAGAAAATGTATTATAGAAACAGCCAGAGTATCTTTCCTTCTTTAGCAGGCTACCAGACCTTGCTCAGCTGCTGCTGGGGAATGAACCCCTAGGATACAACCACCATCCCTTCCCGGTCTGTCTTGTAGGTACCTTCATTCTTCTCAAGTAGGAAACCTGACACTGACAAATGGCAAACTCCAGCTTGGACACATTTAAAATATAGCAGGACAATGACTACATCTCAGTGATCTTGGGCAACAACTAAATGAAACCGACAGAATTGAAACCAACCGCCACAAGGGATCCTTCTAGCTTAAACAGTCTTTCTTTCTCCTGCTCTGACTTGGCGTTGCACATTAGACCCCAGAACATACTCTGCTAGAGCAAGGATTGACCACTTGTTTCCCCTCGAAGGCCAAATTACATTTCAGAGGGTTTGGGGGGTTTTGAGGGGGGAGAGACTGAGGCAAAAGGCTAGCCCCCCTCCCCACAAATGCCAGCATTTTCAGTTAAAACTCACAAGTAACTTCAGGAGTCTCAACCTTTTAGAATTGGGGGGGAGGGGGATATGGCAAAGCTGAGAAACCATTAAGGGTCATATATGGAAAGCAGGGCCATTAAGGGAAGTCCAGCGAGTGAGAGTGGAACCACAGGAGGACAGAAATGGCAATCAGGGCACAAGGTTCTTCTCCCTCTGCTGGAAGACTATAACTGTGGGGCAAAACAAATACAGGTCTCAAAAGGTTCAGAACTTGCCACCTCCTGCAAAACTAGCCACTGCCACTTCCAACATTCAGGATGAACAGCATGGGCCAATGGCCTGAGTCTGTAGTAAGATTGATCACAGGATACAATATTATCCATGCTTACCTGGGAGAAGCCCCTCTGGATTCTATGGGACTTACTTCTCAAAAGGTATGCACAGGAGGGGTTATTGTCATTTGCCTTCAAGTTGTTTCAAACTTATGGCGGCCCTAAGACGAACCTATCACAGGGTTCTCTTGGCAAGATTTGTTCAGCGGGGGTTTGTCTTTGCCTTCCTCTGAAGCAGAGAGTGTTATTTGTCCAAGGTCACCCAGGAGTTTCCATGGCCAAGCAGGGATTCAATTCCTAGTCTCCAGAGTCAGTCTACAGTACACTATACTATGCTGGCTCTCTGCACAGGAGGGATGGCACCATGAATTGCCTTGTGTAAGCCAAACAGTTGGCACAAGAACCACCAAAATGACTGGCAGAGCATACAAGGATTATGCCTGCACAAGAGTGGTTGTTAAGATCTGGGGTTTCCAGGGCAGGCTGGTAGGGGAGAGGTTCAGCACACGCACTACAGAAGGCCATACACATCAGTGCTTCTATTAGATGCATGGGAGGGATAGAAGGCAGATAAAGACATTGAGGGAAGTGGAAGGAAACCCTATATTGATACAGAAGACCACAGGCTACAAAGAACGAGGCAGAACAAGACAAGTCTGTGGAGCCAAGCAGTGCAGCACCTGCAGTATCATAGAACTTGGAGGAAGAGGGATCTCTGACCTAGTGTGCCTCCAGAATTGTTGCAGCACAGCTCCCATCATCCTCAGCAAGTATGGTGATGGGTTGGGGATGATGGAAGCTTTGCTCCAGCAAACCTGGAGAGCCCCAAGTTGGGTAACCCTGGCTTAAAGCACTGCAATCAGTTATGAGAGGTACATGGCACAAGTCTGCCAGTGAAAAAGACAAAGGCCAAGGGTAAGTCAGAACACATACTGACATCTCGTTGGTTACGCTTCAGCCAGGGGTAGGCAACCTTTCTCCTTTAAGGGCTGAGGGACTTCAGCTCCCAGAATCCCAGGAGCTATTGGCCAACATGGGACTATTGGCCAATATGGCTGAGGCTTCTGGGAGCTGAAGTCCCTCAGCCCTTAAAGGGGAAAGGTTGCCTACCCCTGCTTCAGCCAATGCAAGATTTGTTTCCCTAAAGAAAACCTGTGAACCATTTGTCCAGTGTTTTCTGTCTTCTTGCAGGATGCCATGCTTTTGACCAAAGATCTTCACAATGAGGAAGAGAATGCAGAAATTATGTCAAAAATAATCCACACCTTAAGGCTATTGTAACCTTAGAGCTAAATGTTTCCCTCTCTCAAACACACATTCCTCTGCCTAGTAGATTTGTTTAAGTCTAACACCAATGAAGAGAGTCGAAAGTGTGGCCATTAAGCAAGAATAACGATAATGAACAAACAAAAAAAAAAGACCCTGTTTTCTACTAGGGTGGGTGTGTCTTTAAAAACGAATCAAAGCAAAATAAAAAGATCCACAAATTCATGCAAGAGTTTTGATGCTCCTTCTAGAACACAAGAGCAAAATAAATAATGTTTTTTTAAAATTTTTCTGTGTCTGATTTCTTTTCTTAAAAAGTA